CACTGAGTGACGTCATCCTGCAGCACTTCGAAGACTTGTGCACTGAACTGGGGAAGGAAAATGTCCTCAAAGCTCTCCAGCGTCTCGATGTCTTATTCATCATCGATGGCTTCGACGAAGTCAACGACGTTTCTAAAAACGTCGTAACTGAGATTTTCAAGATGACTTGGGGCAGTAACTTTCGTGTTTTGATCACGACTCGTCCTCATGCCGTGAAGGAGAAGCTGGCACCGCTGCTGGGCCGCAACGATGTCAGCTATGCTCAGTACGAGATCCTGCCGCTTACAAAGCTGGCCGACCAACTTGCATTCTTGGGGCGGTATGAAGCAGCCATGAGCAGCGGCACTCCGACTGGGGAGATGACGAGGACCTTCAAGTCTCTCAGTAAAGATGTCAGAAGTCAATTCTCTGAACCTATCAACTTGGTTTATTTCTGTGTGATGTATAAGGACTTCCCTGAGGTAATATCTTCGTGGGAGAAGCCCGAGGACGTGGCGCCTGACAAGCTAAAACTGTACAGGAAGCTCATCAGTGACAAACTAGAGGGCACGATTGATGACAACTTGGACGTGGTGGACAACATGTTGGTTCTGGTCGGGGCAGAAGCGCTGGAGTTGCTCCGCAACAACGTAGTGACTTTCACAGAAGCAGAGTTTCGACACATTAAGCGGAGGTGTCAAGTTAAAGTGAAGGGCGATGACAAGTTAAATCCTGAAGTTGTACTCTCAGTGGTGCTGAAGGAGCACAAACCTCTAGGTTTGACCAGGAGTTCAAGCTATGAATTCCAGCACAAGAGTGAGCAGGAAATGTTCGCTGGTCATTACATCGTTCAGCACATCATTGGAGGGAGCGACGACACCCTCAACAGCATCCTGGGAGTCCCTAAGGAGGAAATGGGTAGGTGAGTATATGCGATAAATAACCTGATTTACCACCGCGCATTGAGCAGAGTAGCATAAAGCTCCCAGCCGTGAGCAGTGAGCTGCATAATATTCCCAGCCATGAGCAGCGAGCTGCATAATGTTCACAGCCATGAGCAGTGAGCAGCATATTGTTCCCAGCCATGAGCAGGGAGATACATAATGTTCCCAGCCAAGAGCAGGGAGCTGCATAATGTTCCCAGCCATTAGCAGTGAGTTGCATAATGTTCCCAGCCATGAGCAGGGAGCTGCATAATGTTCCCAGCCATGAACAGTGAGCTGCATAATGTTCCCAGCCATGAGCAGGGAGCTGCATAATGTTCTTAGCCATGAGCAGTGAGCAGCACAGAACTCTCAGCTATGAGCAGTGAGCAGCACAAAGCTCTCAGCCATGAGCAGTACATGGCATATGTCGTGGCCAACGATCTAAATAACAGTATTACAAATAACGCGGAGTCCTCCCCCATCCTCCCCGCTTACTAACCACTCCCCCCACGCCACACTGCTGCTCCTACACTTCCTACTTACTATTGTATTTACCCTCCTACTTATTACTATTGTACCTACCATCCAACTTACTATTTTATTTACCCTCCAGCTTACTATTGTATTTACCCTCCTACTTACTATTGTATTTACCCTCCTACCTAATATTGTATTTATCCTACTACTTACTATTGCATTGGCCCTCCTATTTACAACTGTAATTACCCTAATACTTACTTTGTATTTATCCTCCTACTTTGTATTGTATTTACCCTCTTACCTACTATTGTATCTACCATCCTACTTACTATAGTATTTACCCTCCAGCTTACTATTGTATTTACCCACCTACTTACTATTATATTTACCATCCTACTTACTACTGTAGCTATTCTACTTACTACTATTCTGATTGAAAAATCAATAATTTTACGAATTAGCTGCATAATTGACATTATTGTGCACTCCGAGATATGGAAGTATGGTTAACAGGCTTTATCGATCTTTATATTAGATACAAAGGTAAATAATTAATAAGACTTTCATGGTCACATTTCATGATGGATAAAACGAATATTACGTCTTGCATCGACACATTACATGTAAGGTAATAACGGTTAATTGACTTTATATTGTCACGGTACCCTCACACATAGATTGTTACGGTACCTTAGTACCTTCTGCTGAAGTTAAAGCTATATTTAGGGATATAGTTAGTAGAGATGGCCAAGCAGTAAACCAGCAGCGAGGGCACAGGGTCATTACTCGACCCTGCAATGACGGAGAAAGGAGTTCTGCCGAAATGTTGCTCGATGCGCTTCGCGACGTCAAGAATTTCCGAAACGATGTCATGCACAATAAGACCAAGATTGTGGAAAAACATCATTTCAATGAATTGAAAGAGGCTCAGCTTGAGCTGATACGAAAGAATGGAGAATTTTATTCTCTGCCTCAAAACAAGGTCGAAGAGGAATCTTTCAGTAACTACACTCCGACTGGGGAGATCACGAGGAGCTTCGAGTCGTTCAGTGAAGATGTCAGAACTCAATTCACTGAACCGATCAACTTGGTTCATTTCTGTGAGATGCAGAGGCACTTCACTGAGGCGATATCTTCGTGGCAGACGCCCGGAGATGTGGCGCCTGACAAGCTGAGCTTTTAAAAAGAATTGGCCAAGTCGAAATTATCAAAGACGAACTACACACATATAGACGGCATGGTTGCCAGTCTGCTTGCCTGTATCGGTGCTGAAGCGCTCATGTTGCTTAACGATGATACCTTCACAGCATCAGGAGTCGAGTTACGTCCCCTCAAACAAAAGTGGGTCGATATGTTTGACCCCGAAATAATTTTATCAACGTTCCTCAAAGGGCACAAGCCACTGCCCGGAAGAGGGTGCAAGCACTTCAAGTTTCGCCACAAGTCCGTCCTGGAAATGTTCGCTGCCAATTATATCGTCCATCGCCTTAGTCAGCGACCCTCAATCGCATTCTGGTAGTCACATCCGTGGATATAGATAGGTTAGCAAACAGGGCAATAATATGCTAAAAATGTTATATTAAATTTAGGCAATATTATAGTGAATTTTTTGAGCAAAAATAACGAAATTGCTTGCCAATATTTCGCGCTGTTCGAGGTTCCTTCGGATAACTGCGGTGTCTGTTCTCAGCTGAGCGTATCACAGATACCGGTGCGTCCCGTAGGCGAGCCTCGCTTATTTTGCCCGCTACTAACACCACCGCCGCGTTGGTCTGATGAATGGTGAATTTAGTGATACGTTGAAATCAATATTAACGGAGACGATGATCTGGATGAATTCAGCACATGACCGCCACACTTCATCGTGACATTCCTCTAGGGAATATTGGGCTGTTGTTGATAAGACTGAACGTGCAATGATAATGTGCACTGATTATTATTAATGTGTTCTGGTGTCGTTGCTTGAAGTTGTCGTCCGCGTTGTGTCGCAGGAGCGTTGATCGCGACCAGCGCCCACCAAGAGCGCCCAGGGAGGGGCCGGAGCCTGGCTGGTGGTCGCGACTTCTTGAATGGCCGCGACGTCTCGGGCAGCCGCGACGTTCTTTGGAGCCGTGAGTCGTTGCTGCTCGATACATTCTCATGGTGACGTTGAGTCTCTCGTGTTTTGTTTTAATTCTACTTACTATTGTATTTACCCTCCTACTTAATATTGTATTACACTCCTACTTACTATTGTATTTATCCTCCTACTCATTATTGTATTTACCCTCCTACTAACTATTGTGTGGACCGTCCTATAGCTATCAATGTATTTATCCTCCAGTCCCTCCTACTTACTATTATTCTTACCCTCCTACTCACCATTGTATTTGCCCTTCTACTTAATATTGTATTTATCCCCCTATTCACTATTGGGTTTACCCTCCTGCTCACTGTTGTATTCTTTTTCTTACTTACTATTGTGTTGTCCGTCCTATACTTTCCATTGTATTTACCCTTCCATTTACTATTATATTTAATCTCCTACTTGCTATTGTCCTACTTGCATGCCGCTCTGATGGCATGAGCTGCANTGGCTTGATTTGTATGCTGCTCGGATGGCATGAGCTGCATGCCACTCTGATGGCATGAGCTACATGCCACTCTGTGCATGGCGGCTTGAGCTGCATGCTGCTCTGATGGCTTGAGCTGCATGCCGCACTGATGGCATGAGCTGCATGCCATTCTGATGGCATGAGCTGCATGCCACTCTGCAAGATGACTTGAGCTGCATGCTGCTCTAATGGCATGAGCTGCATGCTGCTCTGATGTCATGAGCTGCATGACGCTCTGATGGCATGAGCTGCATGCCATTCTGCAAGATAGCATGATCTGCATACCTCTTTGATGGCATGTGCTACATGCCTGCTGGCATGAGCTGCATGCTGCTCAGGTGGCATGAGCTGCAGGCCGCTCTGATGGCATGAGCTGCATGCCACATTTCTTAACATCATACAAGCAAGAAACAAAAACATTTCACAAGCTGCAAACGACGTATAGGCTTGACTCCCCCAATGAATCCCCACCCACCACTTGTAATCACCCAGGCTGCGGGAGGTGCTGCTGTACGTGGTGGCAGCGCTGAGCAATGACAGCCCCCGCCGCTTCGCGCGACGGTGGGGGGAGCTGAAGGAGGCCCTGAGGGAGGCCCGCATCACCGCCGCCGATGTGATGGACTGCGTCGCGCGCTGCCGTCCCGACGACGCGGGGACGGTGGCTGAGCTCGCCGCCCTGACGGATGGCGGCGAGCAGTGGAACGTCAGGAACGGTGGGTGACGTTGACGAATGTTGGGTAGGAAGGGTGACGTGCTGGGTGTGGCGGGGGGATTCGCTGACGCTTTGGACAGTTGCGTTAGTCAGACGCCGACTAACACTGATTGTCGCGGATGAAAGCCCAGCGAAGTTCTGACCAAATGAAAACTCTTGATTTTATGGTTTTTTAACTTTGGTGGTTACGTTGTGTGTCCCGCAGGTCACCATGCTCAGGCAGTGGTTGCAATGTTAAACCATGGTCGTCCATCTCGTGTGGTGGTGGACAAGGAGACCGGCGCCCTGAAGGGAGACCTCGTTACGGTAGCGAGGGGCTTGGGGGTCGACCTGGTGCTCCAGCACAACGACCTCTAGTAAGAACCTGTAGGTGCATGTAAGATACTGTAGGTGCATGCAAGATCCTGTAGGTGCATGTAAGATCCTGTAAGTGCATGTAAAATCCTGTAGGTGCATGTAAGAACCTGCCGATGCATGTAAGAACCTGTAGGTGCATGTAAGAACCTGCAGGCGCATGTAAGCACCTGCAGGTGCATGTAAGAACCTACAGATGCATGTACACACCTTTAGGTGCACGAAAAAGCTCCGTAGGTGCATGTAAGAACTCTGTTATTGCTTGTAAAAACTCTGTATGTGAATGTAAGAACTCTCTAGGTTCGTTTAAGAACTCCGTAGGGGCAGGTAAGAACTCTGTAGGTGCATGTAAGAACCTTAAGGCGCATTTTAAAACTCTGTAGGTGCACGCAAGAACCAGCAGGTGCATGTAGGAACCTTTTAGGTGCACTTAAGAACTCTGTATGTAAATTTGAGAACTCTACAGGTGCATGTAAGAACTCTTCAGATGCAAATAAGATTCTATACTTACATATAAGAACTCTGTAGGTGCATTCAAGTACTATGTAGATGCATGTGAGAATTTGTAGGTGTACGCAATAACTCTGTAGGTGAATGTAAGAACCTGTAGGTGCAAGCTTGAATCTACAGGTGCATGTAAGAACCTTTAGGTACATTAAAGAACCTGCAGGTGCATGTAAGAACTCTGTAGGTGCATGTAAAAACTCTGTAGGAGCATGTGAGAACTCTGTAGGTGCATGTAGGAACCTGTTGGTGCATGTAGGAACCTGTTGGTGCATGTAGGAACCTCTATGTGCTTGTAAGAAGTTTTAGCCGTATGTAAGAAATTACAGGTGCATGTTTGAACCTGTAGGAGCACGTAAGAACTCTGTCGGTGCATATAGAACCTACAGGTGCATGTAAGAACATTTATGAGCAAGCAAGAAGCTTTAAGTGCACATAAGAACCTGTAGGTGCTTGTAAGAACTTGTATGTGCATGCTTGAACCTACAGGTGCATGTAAGAACCTTTAAGTACATTTAAGAACCTGCAGGTGCGTGTAAGAACCGGTAGGTGCATTTAAGAACTAGGTATTGATTGGAGTTGAAAACAATAGAGCTCGACAAATTTTCCAAGAAATAAATAAGAAATACTTTGTTACTTTTTTCTGCCTATTATTCCTATCTTTTAGCAATTTGTCCCCTTCAGAATGATCTGGAAATGGAATCAAATAAATTGTAATTGAAAAGGTGGCCGCTTTGATCGAAACTTATTTTGGCTAAGATGACCATCCTGTTCAAGCGAACAAATTCATAATAATTCTACTATCTTTTGCAACAAAATGTGCAAAATCTCGGAACCCTCTGTTTTGATACCAAAAAAGGAAGCTCGCGCTCTTGCTCACGTTCGTCATGAATGGATATTTTTTTCACATGCAAGATATTGTAAGATCGAACGACAAAAACATCACACCACTATTAGCGATGAGCACTAAAATCCCAGTGCTCATATCATTTACCAATCATATTCATAATTTCATGAATGACTAATTTTTTGGTTATTTTCATTGCTTTTAAATTCTTGATAATTTCGCGTCTCAAGCGGTCAAGTGAACTCAATATTTATGTTTTACTTTACTTCAGTGGCGCTGATATCAACATGGGAGGACACGTGGTGCCCATCGTGGTTCAGAAAGAAGGATCTCGAGAGTTCGAACTCAACGAAGAGGCCCTCATGAGCGTCTTACACAGACCTGAAGTGCGCGATACTGCCCTCTGCGTGGTGTCTATTGCAGGGGCCTTCAGGAAGGGCAAGAGCTTCTTCATGAATTGTCTCCTGAAATACTGCATGAATAAAGTGAGTATTGAGGATGCCGATCAAATTACGAAGGACGTGTTGGGCCCACAACCGGTTTAGTAGAATGAAAACTATCATGCTCTCATCGACCTAGGCTTGGATCACACCATACTGCTGGGACGTGCCCGTCACTGTCCAGTCCAATATACTTTCTACTGAACCATCCACACCAGCCGTGCAAGGCTCCAGCCAAGCCAGGCACTGCATGCCTAGCCACGATCAACGCAAAAGATAGTTTGACCGGGACGTGACTGCAGCGTTGGCAAAAGTTTTTTGTCGAGTATACCCGATTGCCAGCATAACATTCCAGATTTTATCAAATATTCCAGATCAAATATATCTATACCGGTCACGATCTCAATAGACCAAATTTAACAAATCTGGTATATACGTATAAACCTCTGGAATAAATATACCAGTTGGCAAAGCTGCGTGACTGCCATGGCCCGTGTAACGAAAGGAGCTGAAATGAGGACGGCGTGTGACCGGACTGAACATGTGAATGCACTTGGCAGGGAACGGACCGTGACGGGCAAATGTCTACGTGCCTGGCAGAATTGTATGAATTAAGCCTGAATATAAATTGCTTGTAATTGAGAGGTAAATAACTATTCTGGGTATTTCTTCGCTCGAATAAACTGACTTATTCACATAAAAAAGTTGATATTACTTACGTTGAACTTGTCTGATTATAATCTTTCATACACATCAATTCTACGCTACCTAGGGCTCACCAGACTGGCTGGGTGAGCAACTGCAGCCAATTGGAGGCTTCGTCTGGAGGGCAGGTATGGAGAGAGAGACCACCGGGATATCTATCTGGAGCGAGCCTTTCCTCTTCACTAAATCAACGGGCGAAAAAGTGAGTGCAACAAGAAGCACAAATTTGTTTCTATTGCTAACTGAGTAGTTTTCATTACTGAATATAAAGGTGCTGAGTAAATAATAACGGAAGTAGTACAGAATACGAAACATTAACAATTTCATTCACGTTTTATTCACAGAAAGGAATAATTATGATAGCGGTCAGAATGGGGAGCAGATATTTTCGTTTTGCAGTATAGTTTGTTCAATCTTCTATGATATTCATTCTGAATTACGGATTTCGAAACTTGAGTGAAATCGTATTGTGGTACAAAACCTAATTTTTGTATTGTTCCAGGTTGCTGTGATCCTAATGGACACCCAAGGCACTTTTGATTTGGAAACGTCGGCACAGGTATGCAAAATTTACGTGCAGACAGTTAATGTGAGATTTCATGTCTTCAATTTTAGGGGTTACAAGATTTATTTTAGCTTAGATATTCTGCTCTCCCTTAATTTCGTCGTGAACTCGATATTTTCGTTTGTATTCAATGTGCTGTCGTAGCTAGTGTACCGCCAGGAGCTCTTTTTGCGGTTCAGAACAGATTTTCACGATCGCTAAGATGGCAAGATTGGCAAGTCTGCTGACGATAATAAATTCGATGGTTAATAAACTTTCTATGCTCTTGATATAATTGAAGCGAATACAGGAAATAATCAATTAATAATAAATTAAATCAGCCATATAACCTCGACAACTGACTAGCTATATCATCAAGATCTAATTATTATATTGCGATCTTAAGGAGTCAAATCAAAGAGAAATTTGAATTTGCTACGAAAACCGGAATTGTAAACAGAAACCCAACATTGAGAAGTTAACTTCTACTTGATCCGATTTCACTCTCAAATTTAACTATCTTAGTAATGGTGGTTGATTTCACGCCCATTTAATGTCAAAACATCCTCTCGTTTATGTAATTTAAATTTTACTGAACCATTTCCGAAAAGGAAACTGACATTAAACGAATTCTCGTCGCTTCGCAATTCCTCATAATCGCATTAACGAAGAACAGAAGTAAGGAGATGTGACAAGATAAGCTAAATCTTCTCACATTTATTTGAAGTACAGGGTGCGCCACAGAAACTTACTTATTTGAAAGGTCAATAAAAACAAAAGTACTTCAGTTATTGTTTTAAATTTTTTTTATTCGAGAAAACAGTATCCCAAATTTTTTTTCATACAGTTTTGAAAATTAAATCTCATAAATGACGGCCTCCATTGCGCATAAACTAATGTCAATTATTCCCATTACCGACGTCGCACACCAGACAGTAACTCGCTCACAGTTAAGTGGCTTCTGGTGAAACTCACGTGGATTTACACCACACTAATAACGCATGTTTAGCTTGTTAACGCAGCCGGAAATGTGGAATTGAGCCTCGCCACTGAAAAAAACGACCGCGTCTTCAGGCAGGTTGTCAACCAGCATTTACATGCATTTTGAGGGGCAACAAAATCGCGTTCAGTTAATTCTTGCACTACAGCAAATTCATTTGAGAAACTTTGAGAAACAAACTTGGGAACTTTCCCCTTCAGATGCACCCCCTCTCGCCCCTCTACCCGACCAACTAACCGCACAGGAATTTTTTCAAATAAGTAAGTTTCTGTGGCGTACCCTGTATTACATTCAACCATATATAGTCGTCCTCGCACTCAAGACCGCATTAAACATGAAGACGTCCGTTGTACTATTTGAATAGTGTGCTATAGTTCTATAGAAATGCAAATTAAAGTACGATTGTAAAAATTTGGTAAAGTCAAAATGAACTGTGTTCTCAGCTTTAGAAGTAGTGCGACCAGATGAAACCTCTGGGGGCATCTATCATACAACGTCAGAGCTCCAGTTCATTGTAAGGTTTCGAGCGATGAGAAGGAAATCCGAATTACGAAAGTTTTCTAACTTGTGACTGATAAAAGAACTCGCAAATATTCTTAAATTTTAATGAGAAGTCTGGATATTATAAAAAGAACAATTGGCTGAATTTGTTGAATAACATTCAAAACATAATCGCCGCAGTCATGATTACGCAAGTTCACCTTCAAAATCATATCGCCATGATCCCATTTTTAGTGGTATCCTATTTACATGACTTTGTACATATGCTGACCTAAATTACTACTCAATATTTCTCGTAACTTGATAATGTTGATTGATACACTCGAAACGCAGTTAACAGTTTAAAAATGACTTTCGGTATCCTGATTCGATTTACCAACGCAAAAGAAAAATATTGCTACATATATTCATAAACTAATAATAAAGTTGTCGGTAAAACATATTCTATGGTCTTCAATCATACTTGACTAAAGGAACAAATTCTGCTATCTCATACTAATATCGCTATGATCTACATATAGGGTAACATGGGCAGCGAGCCCACTGCGGGTCATGGGCCCATAGCGGGTTTCACGCAAAGTATGGCAGATATTGGTCCGTGTTCTCTACCGCCGGTCGACAGTTTCACTGGGATGAAATGTACGGATTTACGATTTGCTAAGTGTTTGCATTATTAAGTTATTGGTGAATAACTGTTTTAGTCCAGATAAAAATTTTTTTCGATTACTATAGATGAAGCTTTTTAAATTACTGTGAATTATAGTTTCAAAGTAATATTTATAGGGATAATTTTGAGATCAAGTTTAGACTATTAGCTCTTAAAATAAAATGTTGACACGATATAAATTGAAATGATACCAAGTGGGGGCAACGGGCCCACGCGTGTCACGGGGCAAAGCGCCCATGGTGAAGTCTTGTGTTATACATCATTAGATTTGTCTCAATGACCTTTTCAAAACTAGGACTAGCTTTTCGAACTAAAAATTACACTTCATATTGCATGATTTTTTTATTTGCCGCCTCAAGGCAGCAGGTTTAGTTTCTAGTTATGCGTATTTATGACCCCTAATCGAGTTATTGACTCTTGCCTTGCCAAAAGTTGATTTCAGCCAACACCAATGTGCCAAAAGTTTATGAGTTTTATGGTGTTGGCTGAAATCACGATTAGGTACGAATTCTCTGCACATAATATCCGGATTATGGACGAAACTGGAACGAAGGTTTTTTTTGATCAACTAAATATAATTTTTCTAGTCAAGGATACATTTTTTCATGTCAAAGACGAATTTTTTATCGCAAGGATATATTTTTCAAGTCAAGGATATATATTTTTATGTCAATGAAATATTTTACTTCACGTCAGTGATAGATTTTTTAAGCCCAAAGTATATTTTTTTCAAGTTAAGTATATGATTTTTGAGTTGTTAATGAATGAGTGAATGTCATATTTTTTAATACATTTTCTTATTTTTAACTGTAAAGTGTTTTTTTTTCACTTTTAAACGAAAAATATGCATTTGTGGTAAAGGGACCAAGGGTGGGCGCCTTGCCCCAAGCCCATGGGCCCATTGCCCCAAGGGTGGGGCAATGGGCCCATTTTGACACTTTTTAAAAATAGTGTTTCATTAAGGGGAGCGTCTGGCCAAAATTTTTGAATTTTGGCTTTTCCAGTTTTTAGTCTCGTCATAAAGCTGACATTCTGCTCTATTCAACGGTACCAAAATCATCTCCGTAAGTTGATTTATGCGTTCACGACAGATCGCGAAAGGGTGGGGGGTGGTGGAGTTCTTTCACATTTAGGATAGGCGAAAATTCCCGGTGGCATACTTAAATAGCTAGTCCACATACGATGTGCTTCAGTTACCCGCCTGCAGTTGTAACCCGCCTGCAGTTGCAAAACAAAGAACCACCTCGTATCAATTAAAACTTCATCAAAAATTTAGTTTAAAAAAGGGGAGGGCGCGCTGCCCCATGTTGCCCTACATATATGGATTCAGATTTTTTCAAGTACCTAATCTTTTGCTACCATTAATATGGTACAGCAGTTTCTATACTCTGAAGATCTGATATAGCATTTCATGACATCTTGTCAGTACGTTTGTACTTATGTCTTATAAATTAAACTTGAAGAAAACAAAACAATCTGCTGTAAAATTTGAGAAGATTGATTGTTAAACAAATATATAATAGGCAAAACGCATTGTAGTGAATGCTGTGAGGTTAAGAAGTATAATTTCCATATCCTAAATCTCTTACTCAAGATCTCGTTCTCATTCATTCCCACAATCACCTAATTTAATGCAAATTTCCTAAAATTGCTCGAGAAAATTTGACCAACCACGTCCCAGTTTGGGGATTGAGTGAACATTTTGTTATATGTCAAGAAAAATTACGAATTTGTTGATTCACTGTATCTGGGTAACCCAAATCATAAAATTGATCAATCGTTTCATTTTATAAATTTTATTCAATAAATGTAAACTTGCACTTATATAACTCATACTTATAATGCACCCGCTGTACTCATATCATAATGCTATAATTACTCAACAATAGAATTATCTGCCCAAAAATATGGTTATGCGGATGTTGACACCTTGATATTTTCCAGCATGCGGCTCTGGCATGAAGTCTGAGCCTGCAGTATTGTTTAATCACAGAAGACTGGATTTGGTAAAAACTGATGACGTAAAGCATAAATTAAAGTAATGAATTTTCCTGGAAAAGATTGAGTTGTATACCTTAATTCTGTTATTAGGCATAGTAAATTTTATACTCTGGTCCAGCGTATATTGATGCCAAATGAAAATTAATTTCTTAGTATCGGAATTAGTTTCCATTAAAATATCGCTGTAGCCAACTATTCAATATAATAAGCTTACGCAATGAATTCCAAGGAAAATGCGGCTTTATGTCCGCCCCGGGATAACTTTTGCGTGTCTTAATGTATCTTTATTCCACGCAATATGTCGCAAACTTTCTCCTTCACATTTACTTTAAGACAAAACCTTCGAATGTCAAGTAGCTGGTGAAATTACATCAATTACCATTCCCAGTGTTGGCAGTATCCCTATAATATAGATTCTGTTGATTAATTTTAGCCATTTATTGTCGCGATGAAGATTTTGTGAGATCGAAAATTGTAATTTGCGCCCCGCTCCGCTACATCACAAACTGCTACCCACAAAATTTTGAAGCTATTCTTTATTTTCTGCATCAATTATCAGATTTATAGGATTAAGAATGCAAATACTCGTACATTTTTAGATTTTTCATGAAATAATAGTTTGGTATCACAAAAAAAACGAAGTATTTCTCTTCATTTCATTAATTTCGAATAAAAGTTTATTTCAGGTTTCAAGATTTGGCGATAAGTAGGAGATGCTGGGAATAGAAATCTTGCACAGGTGATTAAAGTAAACCATTTTTCTTCTATTAAGTTTCAGTAACACTTTATCTTCCGACAATACGAGTAAAGCTCACAATCCACTTATTAATCCACATTTCTGCGACAGCTTTTCTTGTGTCCCATTTCTGGCAGGAATCCACGTTCATATTCGCCCTGACTCTGCTGGCCTCTTCTGTCACTGTCTACAACCTGATGAACCAGATCCAGGAGGACGACCTCATGAACCTCCAAACTTTCAGCTCATATGGCGTCCTGGCTCAGGAAAATAGTCATGGCACGCGTTCATTTCAGGTACACAGCTCGTACACATTTCAGGTACACAGCTCGTACACATTTCAGGTACATAGCTCGTACACATTTCAGGTACACAGCTCGCACACATTTCATGTACACATCTCGTTCACATTTCAGGTAAAAAGCTCTTAATTTTATATACTCGTTGAATTTTTACCACTTCAATGGCCAGCCCTCCCGTTGTGCGGGTTGCTCAATGCTCCACGTTGGTGCAGGCGTTACCTATTGGATTACTTATTATTTCCCGCCTAGTAAAGAATCAAAATTCGATTTCACCCATATCCGTATTTTTTAAAACGATTTTTTGTCGTTTTATGCAATGAAGAGCATGCAATTCCATTCTAGAAAAATTCATTCCTCTATAGAAGGCAGACTTGGAATTAACAAATTCGTATATATTGGAATTTATGACCGAGAGAGCGCATAGTTCTTTTGAAATTCATCTCTACATAAGTATTATTTTTCACGTACGCTTCCTGTTCAATGTTTAATTCAATAAATCCTCTGTCAAGTGTTTTGAACCAAGGCATATATTGTGTCAAGATCTGCTTATTCAAAATAATTCAATAGTAATAGTACTTATCCGTCACAAGGTTTCTTTAGCTGTATGATTTCATTTACTCAAGGTTCACTACTCAAGGTTTCTTAAGGCCTCAAAAGAATTACTTTCGAATCACTTTAACAAACTTACCGAGTTTTATTAATGTTCTCCTGGTTCAGAAGCTGATATTCCTCGTGCGCGACTGGAGTCATAGCTTCGAGCATGATTTCGGTCACGAGGAAGGCAAAAATGTGCTGGAAAAAGTGCTAAAGGTAAGTTGGCCAAAACATTACTGAATCTATAACAAGTGCTTATGATCAGTCTAAAATAGCAGAACAAAAATTCGATGTTGAAAAGTGGCATTTTGAAGATGCTAATAAATCTTTTATTCGGAATGATGACAATTTAATCGAAAGATTGTACTTTAAACCTTGTGTGCAGCCCATCTTCTATGAAATCTTTTAGGATAAAAGGATATATATTTTTTTGGACTAATAGAAAATTTTGCGCACCGAAATTTTGAAAAACCTTAAGATCCTCCCAACATTCTGATAGTATAATTGTGTATAAATATATAAAAATCAGATATAATAAAAAAGAATGCGAAAAAAGGAATATTACACCATAATATATAGAGGTGCTAGAGAAAAAACAGCCCCTTTTGAAATCAGCAGCATAAATGCTCCTCATTATAATGATCTCAGAACCATTTTCTCTGTTGACCAGTGCAATCTTTCTATTGCATCTAATATTTCGAGACGCAAAAAAAATTTACCGGTTATTCTCCATCAAGTGAGGTTTAAAGCGATTATAGCCCTGTACTTAGCTATTTCTCGCAGGAAATTCACTCAATCTCTTTTTATTGATGTTAATAAAAGTAGACCGCAAAATTCACATCAAAAAACAATTGGAGCCAATGTGTTCTATTAGATCTACCTGTGCTAAGCTACTTGTACTACACGTAGGATACGGAGTATTTGTATTGTCAGGTAAAGGAGGAACAGGAGCCGGGCAAGCAGAGGTTGAGACAAGGCCTCCGTCAGAGTTTTGAGGAGCTGGAGTGCTACCTCATGCCCCATATCGGCACTAGCGCCTTGAGGGACCGCAACTTCAAGGGGCACCTTGAACGTGAGCCCCTGGACACAGTGAAGCTTTAGCGTGTTTGATGTTTTAAATAACTCGATACTTAATTCCAGTTTCCTAATGTAACGTATTTGCGTACCATTATTTTTGAAATTCATATCCTTAATTATTGCATGATCATTCCAGATTATTATCTGTACAAGCTCTTTCGCTTTACTTCCTCCAAAAGTTTCAGTTTATTTGATTAACATTTTCCGTCCATGCTCACTTCATTGATTTCTTAAAACTGAGATTCCAGCTGACATTGAACGTAATCTTGGTTAGCAAAAAATCATTTCTCTAAATGATCTGTCATTCTATGTACTGTGAAACAAATTTTATGATATGAAATGCATTTCTCATATCTGTGATCTTTCCGTGCAGAGTTAGCCCCGTTATTCGTGGAGCACCTAAAGCTGCTGGTGCCTCGCCTGCTGGCGCCTGAGAACCTCGTGGTGAAGCGATCATGTGTGACGCTGGGGATGCCCGCCACGGCAGACGAGCTGGTGGAGCTGTTCAGAACCTTCATAAAATTCTTCAATGATGGAAAACTGGTTCAGGCTACAAGCATGGTTGAGGTGTTGATGCTAGGAAGGTTATAATTCAATGACACCAATGTAATTTTTATTCAGGTGCCTCACAAGTTAGTGAAGAGTGGCCTTGGGGAAATATAGTGAATTTGATTTAAAATTAAGCAAATGAATCTTGAATGGAATTCGTTGAAGCTTGTGAAAGTTTTTCATACGAAGCAATCATCGCCCCAATATGTACCATTCTGTCAATTTTGCTATTGCTCAGAAACTTTAATGCCAGCTTATCATCGACGGTAGGAATGGTCGGATTTTCTCGACCAATATCAGAAATTTTAAAAATGTTTCTGTCGCATTTTCTGCTGCAATCTAGAAGGCTATTGCATTTTAAGACATTGTGCTGACTACCTTCCTTTCAGCTGATATCACGTATGGCAAGCGAGGCAGCTCGCAAAAGAGCCCTTGATGTCTACAGGGAAGCCATGGACTCGATAAGCAATCCCGATGGGGAAGATCTTCAAGCGGCAGTTCTGGTTGAACACCACTTCGCGTCTAGAGAAAAAGCCCTTGCAGTTTACGCCAAGGAGAACCCGTACGCCAAAAACTGCGCCGTATTCCCAATTGCTGATGAAATAAGAGAAGAACTCAAGTCGGTGAGTAAAGCGAGTGAGATGAAGTCTGTGAAACGGCGCTAGTAGTACCTACCTATTCTCAGCTGGTACCCCAATATGAAGTTTCACACTCTAATCTTTCCATTGTTTTCATCATTTATTTCTTAAAACTTTGAGTTAAAATATGATTACTGTTACGGGGTTTGGTATGCACAGGGCGTAGCTACCGCATGGGATATAACTACTTCCACCTATGTCCGCAGTAACCCGCCAGATTCATCTCGCTTCTTGCCGTTCATAACCAACAGGAAATAATATCAACCGCTCATGATACATATGTTGTGTTGTGGCCGGCTTGAAGGTGAAGAAGTAGGCGAACGAAGATTCATGATACATTTTAAAGTCCAGGCTCTGGAGGTCTCCCTTCACTGTTCGAAAATCATCCTTAAACGTTTTCACCGGTGTTTCAGCGACCGGCCAACATGTGAAGTGTAGGGTTTCACCATTTTTTTCGGACAAATTTCGCGATTTATTTTTTTTCAGTTGCGTTGACCGACTAAATTTATAATGGCGGCACTTCCTTATTAAATTTCAAAAGTGCGAAAAAAATGAAAATGAAATTTATACACCGGAACATACATATATACTAGTATATATTACGTAGTAGTCATTTTTTGTCCGCGGGACCCTGTTGAAATGAACGACGTGCTTTCCTGTGCATTTTTATAGTATGATAATTGATTATAATTAAGAAACAATTGAGGGTTTGTCCGTTGGCCGTGATTACGAGGATAAATGAGTCACAAGGTAATTGTTGACAAGGTACTTATTTGTAGAGTGAGTATAAACGGGGCGTACAGATTATATAGAGTTGAGTACAAATGAGTTGAACGTATACGCAATTGCTTCGGTTTAGACTAAAGTTTCTTAGTTTAGACAAAGCTTATAAAGACTTGCTATTTGACGTCACCAAGGTGATAAATCACTACGGGTTGGACAAGGGAAGTCTAACACAAGGATGTTTATGAACATAGCGATGAAAGAAATTGTCTTCTAACAAGGAAGATGCTAATGAGGAAATTACTTGAATGCGGTGGCTATTGGGAGTCTATCAGATTTCAAATAAGAGTTGACAATTTGCATCTTACAGGAAAGAAACACTGTGTGGCCATTTTTATTCAAAGGTTACGCTAGAAACCAGTACAATATATGAAAACAAAGGGAAAATTGTTTATTTTCACTTGGTGGCTTGCCAAAAGAACGCCTGTGAGATTTTTTCTACGTTTTTTTTTTCGAACAGTGTCCATGAAAGATAAGAACCTCCTAGTGACACACAGCCTATTATACAATTAGTTCGTCACTAGAAGACACAATAAGCCAAAACTGACCTCTATGCAGGTTTAATCAAGTGAAGTTCATCTATAAAGTTTAACCTTCATTATAATTTCTGACATTTATGCAGGTTAAACTTCACAGAACTTAATTGAAGTTCCTATGATGAAAACGGTTTTGGTCCTATTTTGTAATGTCAAATCTCGATTAAGTACACACCTTTTCAATGTGGCAGTGAAATCAGAACGAATGACGATATTGGTGGCTGAAATTAGGCAGGCGGCGATCCACCGTGACCTGGGACTACGACGTCCGAAACAAATACCAAGGATACCAAGCTTACTACATGATTAATCCGGCAACATGCAGCAGGCGGACGTTTGATTCATTTCGGTTAAAAATATACACATTATGGCATTAATAAATTTACTTCTCTATATCATAATCTTGTGAAATATGTTAATGGTGACCAGATGTATAGCTACACTACAGAGCCATGTCACCTGTAGTGTTAGGATTCTTGCTTTATGAAGCTATTATCACCTTAACTGAAAATTGCATGCACATGCTTTTACTGAAAGTGTTCACAAACAAAATAAAGAACCAACGCAACTCATGTCGAGGTATTTAATACATGGCAATAAAGAACGTTTTAAAGTAAAATAAAGTGGTTTAAAATAATAAATAATTATATGCTACTTCGGTGTTTATCCATTAACTTCGTATTAAAGTACATTTGTTCAGTATCATGTAAGCAACTCGACCAGCGTTCTGATCTTATTTAGTTGTTTTTAGAAACCTTCAATTTTTAAACCATTAGCATTCAACAGAAGAACAGAAAAAAAACAACAGAAGAACCATTATCATTCAACAGAAGAACAGACAAACACGAAACTTTTTTTCAAACCGAGTTTACGATAATGAACTTAATTTCATAAAGTACCAATCGAATTCTTTCATTTAATTAGAGAAAAGATGAGTAGAAAAATGTTTAATTTGCTACACACAAATCCAATATTTTAATACTTTTCTATGTATGGAAGCAAATCTGTATTCATCACCATTCACCTAAAATAATCGATATGAATGATGCTTTAGGTTCGTTCATCATCTTATTTAATTATGGACTGTGTGATTTACTATCAGATTATCTGCATGGGCATGAGTTGTAACTCTCCCTGTGCCTGAAGCTGGCGTCTAATAGTTTAAATCGTTTTTATGTACGCAAGCATAATTATTTGTAGTTGCCATTAGAAAAGTAGCTGCCATCCCATTACTTAAAACGTGACAAATCTTTGCGAGTGTTTTAAATTGCGTCACGAATCAGTGATGTCAATCCATTCAGTTTCAACTATATTTTTATAGGTAAAAATTTCATTCGCCATGCATTGTTGCTTAACAATTAATTTAAATAAACTAAAATGATTTTCTCCCTCTCAAGACTGGTTATCAAAGAATTAAAAAAAGAAGATGGCAAAGAAATTCCCCATATATTTATAAAGGAAATCGTTTCAGAGATCAGCTCCATCGTCATCGAATTGTCTTTTATTTGTCGAATTTAGATTTCCCAAATTGATGGCAGCATTGCATTTTGCATTATTAACTGATTGCATTTACCTTCTAGGCTTGTATGTACAACTGACGATGGAGCTGGACTCCAAAACGATTCCTTTTATGAAGACACAGAGAATTTCTGTGCTATCTTCTTTGTTTCTCAATTCTTTATCAATTTGCAATTTAGCCAATCAACTGATTTAATGCTTGTTATTTTTAGGAAATGGAAGAGATGATCGTGGTCACCATCAGGACCAATGAAGAAGAGCAGAAGGCGCGCTCAAGCTGCGCTGCCGCCAGCAAAAAAGCTAAGAAGGCCTACGAGAAGGCCATGTCCCCAATAAACTGCCCCCCTGGGGACGCTCTTGGCGCCTCCAGTGTTCTGAAACTTCACGCAGATTCAAAGGACCAAGCCATGGCAGTCTACGATGAGCTAACCCAACACATCGTCAAGACAGAACTGTTATCTCTTCGGAATGAAATTAGAGCTCAGCTTGAGGTGGTGAGTACAGGGTAGAGAAAAATTTTACTTTGTCCAATTTAGCCCGAATCTACAAAATCACAATCTGAATAAAAATATTCCACCGATATTTTTACCATCTTCTCAGGATTGATTAGAATTTGATATGGTGTTGACACCATCCTTCACGTTACTTCATATGAATATAACATTCGTTCAACGAGTGAATATTTAGGTAATAGATATAAGGCTCACACCAAAAAACGTACATAAAACATGTTAAATGAACTTTCCATATTAAATAAATTATTATAATTTTTACCCATATCATTTGCATGGTCTGAAATATATGACTTTTGTTCAGTATAATCTCTATCCAATCATCAACTGTTTTATCAATCGAACACAATTATTGGATTTTCTTCTTGAAGAAGCCTGACGCGATAGGAAAAAATAAGATAATTCTGGTTCTGGAAGAATATCCGGGCCTTAGAAATAGTTGGAGCGTCGGAGGTGTATGACATTTTTCGCATGATATTTTAGAATGCCTTATGGGAGATAGAGGAAAATTTTTCGTGTATATTTTGATTTGCGTGATTTGCGTTTAAAACTAACTCGTAATTAATCCTTCTTTAGTTACTAAATGAATAATTAATGGATACCTTGAAAACTCTAAAAGTGGAAAGTGATAATGCGGAGTTTAACATTGAAAATTACCTTCCAAATTCAGTTCCAAAGGTTGAGTGAACGAAGTTCTAGGCAGCAAAAATGTCCGTTCTATAAGCGCTTGTATAATTCGTTCTTGTCTTGCAATCGCCTGAACAAGAGATGAAATTGAACCTACACTTATGGGAAATTATTTCAGACTCAATTAGGAAAACGGCTAGTAATATTTCTTTGAGTTCACTCCCTTGACCATCATGCAAAAACGATTTTACTGAGAATTTTCTGACAGTCTCGTGAATGCAAATAGGTTTATTATGAAGTTGGTAAGGCACATGAACCTTTTGACTGATGGCAGCAGAGAAACTGCAATTTTCATGTTCTTCTCCAATTTTGTGTCGTCCATGAAGTGGGACTTTGGTTAATTGCATGTACAGCTTGTAAGAAGGTTGAAAAAGATCCCATAGTGGTCGAATTCTCTCTAAAAATTCTCTAGTCTCTGTAAACCTTTGAACTTGAGCGCATTAGCTAGGATATTTTTATCTGTTTCATTGGTTCTGCTCGAGTAAACCGGCTTCTTGTCTTTAACCGGCTAATTGCTTAAATTGAACGGCCATTATTGATTGAAAATCAAAGTGATTATGTTAGATAAATTTAATTTTCTTTCAGGATATCGAAAAGGAGAAAACCCACTACGTCATTTTGAATGGCCGCGCACAGCAGGTGCGCTCATGCAGCGAAAGGGCCTACACGGAAGCAGTGAAGGCTTATGTAGATAGCTTTACCAAGGCCCACCCCAAAATATCATCCAGCGATATTTCTGTATTAGACAAGAGCTACTATAAGTTCAAGAATGAAGCCCTCTGTTTCTACACTCAGATGAATAAAGGAAACGAAAATATTCCGATAGTGAAGAAATTTAGAGACCAACTTGAGAAAGTAAGTATTCAAGTGTGCCACTCTTAAACTGGCAGGACAGTATTATTTTGTATTTAAAAGTATTATTGTCATCATTTCTGTTTCAAGTACTGACGGTAATGTTTAAACTATTGTGAATTTTATCCCGAATTTGTTAGCATTGGAGCAGAACAGAATTTCAAACCACTGCCAGTTCCATTAGACACTTTGAACAGATTAGCGTGGTAAGAAAATGGTGGTGCTGCTGATCATGACTTCTGCTGCTGATCATGACATGCTGATCATGACTGCTGATCAAGACTGCTGCTGATCATGACTGCTAAGAACCTTTGCTTAGATGGACTTGCTTTTTCTAAATCAGTCATAAATCTTCACCCAAAAATTGCTGTATTTAATAAGTTAAATTCAAATTCAATTCAAGTAAAATTCAAGTGGCCGGTGCTGTACTGCATATTAAATTTGTTTGGAATTCTTATTTAATTTTTCTGGATGTTATGAGACTGACGTTAAAATCTATCGACATCTTTGGGTCGATTGGTAATATTTTTCAGTCTTAAGTTAGCGTTTTATTATACTTCTCATAATTTCTTCAATCATTTTACTTGCTTCCAACGGAACCAAACATTTTAACTGCTCATTATGATTCGAGGTATTTCGACTGTTCTAATTTATTTATTTTAAATGTTCCTAATGTTACAATGTATTTTTCCTGTTCCCAATCTAGTCATTTATTTTACCAACCCGTACTTCTACCGTTGATTCCAACCATCTGAAAATACAAAAAAAAATTCACACGATCTATAATAACTTTTCATGCAACAAACCTAAAGAAAATGTTCTTTAAAATAAAGATATACACAAATATTTCGTTATTTCGTTACTCGAAATGTGTCGTTGCAAATGGCCATGTCAATGATGAAAAAATTCCCGTAACTCATTTGCTATCCTGTCTGATTTAATCTATGTAGGATAAATTCCATATTTTTCAAAAAGATTACAATGAAAAAGTTGTCTAAAAGTAATATTGTATCTTGAGAACACGGAAATAGATAGGCATATAATTTTAATAATTTTACTACATTATGATACAATTCCATATGAAGTCGAAACCTGACACGTAAATTTTTTTTGCAAACATATTGTTCCTCACTGAACTATAATATAGTTTGAATTGAACCTCACTAAACTAAATTGAACCTCACTGAACTATAAGCCGTAGACTTGGCTTATGAAGTTTTACTATTTCAGGAGATCAACATGATTCACTACGACACGGCTTTGAAAATCAACAATGAATCAAGCTGTTCAACTCTTTAGCAATATCCCAAACGCTAAAGGAACAATGGCCAAGTTGACAAAAGTTATTGACAGAAATTAGGGACATTAATAGCCAGCACAGTTGAACGTGGCACCTAATCTGTCACTTTAACCTCGGTTCATTAATATAAATTTTTCAAATTGGTTGAGCAAAGAAGCCCACCCATGTTGCGAATTTTGGCGGTAAGATGCGATAAATTTGCAACGGCGCCCACAGCTGCACGCCCATCGAGGGCAGCAGCCGGTAAGGCGGCGCCCCATGGGCCACAGCCTCTTCTTGGTTCACCGTTTGGTCCAACTTCCCCGGACTGAAATATTCCTCGAGGACGGCCCGCACCAGCGGCACGCGTGTGGAACCCCCGACCAGCACAACCTTGTCGATCTCATCTTTGGTTAATGATTTCTGAGAGATAAGACGATCGATAGAGAGCGTTATTTCATGCCTGATATCACGGGAAATGAGTGAATTGAATTCTTTTCTCATTATGATGAGGTTTACGTCGGTGCTGCCAAAAATACCATCAAGGCTCAAACGAGCCTCCGGAAGCAAAGTCAGAGTTTTCTTGGATTATCACACGCAATGCGCAGTCGTTCCAGCTGCTTCTTATCCTTTACTGTGTATTTATATTTTTACTGAATTAGAGTCGCACAATGGGCAACCAAGGCCTCATCTATGTCACGACCACCAAGGTTGGGGTTGTTGAAAATAGTATAGTTTTAAGGTTCTCGTTATAAATTAAATTTAAGCTTTCATTGAGTCCGTTAATAACCTAAGCTAAAACTAGACTTAAAACTATAATTTTCGCTCTACAATAATAAATTTCAGTCCCGAGTTACATTTAAACTATAATAATTGCCTGGCACCACCTTAGCGATTTTGAGGTATTAGAGACTTGCAGTTTCGGGATTCCTGTTGAATGGAACCAAACTTCAAGTCAATCGGCTACCCATCTACAGTCTTCTTTAGCACCTCATCCTGTGACCAGTTCCACCTGCAGCCGTCGATTTGTTATCAGTGTATCCCAGGACGCTGTGACCGGAGTTACGGTACTGCTTCGTCGTCGCACGTGATGGGAGTCATGAGGGGCTAAGATCTCCACGTCCGTATGTTCTCCTGAGCCCCAGTTGGACCACTCACCTGCTGCAGCCGACTGCACCAGCTTCAGTCTTTTGTGGACCACGGTACCACTTAGTCGTGCGGGCGTGTGCCAGACAGTTTCAGAGACTGACATAGCTAAACTCTGCCCTCTGACCTCAAACTAGAATAAAGGTGTTGCCCATTTAATATAAATTATATAATAGATATTTAATTTTAGTATACCAAATGATGATTGACCTAAAACTGTATTTTTAGTACAAAATTGATGAATGAATTGATAAATTAATAGATATATTTTAATATATATGGAGAAATTAAACGGATAATAAATTTTATAAATATAATAGATCTAAATACAAATATTGTTACCATTTATGATATTTATGATTTAAAATTCATTTGTATATTTTTTGTGGCAGCACTGAACGAAACTGCTGGGGGCAAATGGCTGCAGATCTGGCACGTCACGCTTTGGTTGGAACTTTCCTGACCACTATACATTCTCGCAGCCCGGCCAAGCTTCATACGCCTATGCAATAACAACGTTGAAGTTAACTGAATTAATAAAGAAAAGATAAATTTAGGAAACTTAACGTTGTTTCATTGCCATCTCTAGCCCCCACGCGCTAAGTTTTCGTTAGGGGTTTCCATTTGCGGCCATGACATTCACCGATCCATCCCTCACCTCCATGATGGACACAACCAGCTTACCGTCCCCGAAATCCACCACCGCGATAACCGCGGGGGTTTTGACGGTGCGGTTGTCCGCGAAGGCGACCCCCGCCGCGGTTGTTTCGTTGATCAGCCTAAGAACTTCAAGTCCTGCGACTTGCGCGGCGTATTTTACCGCGAGTCGCTGCGAGTTGCCGAACGAAGCCGGTACCGAGATGACCGCGCGGTCCACGGGACAACCCAGAGAGGATTCTGCGATGTCCTTCATCTTCCCGAGCAGCATGGCAGCAACCTGCACGGGTCTTAGTTTTTGATCATGATTTTTGTAATGGACGACGTACTCGAATTTAGGGCTTTTACGCATTGGTTGAAATTGACAAGAGGATGAGAAGTCCTTCACTTCGTCGTAGGTCCTACCCAGGAGCCTCTTGACGGCGTGCACGGTGTTGGCGCCGTTCTCGACGGCCTGGTCAAGGTCATCGCTGCCCACTAGTCGCTGCTGGGAGTTGAAGGCAACACAGGAAGGCGTCGTCCTTTGCCCCAACTTGTTCTCCAGGACGTCCACCCGACCGTCGCGCACCGCAACCACGCAACATTTGCTCGTCCCGAAGTTGATGCCGATCACCACAGGTTTCGGCCGGCCGCGCTCCTCAGGCGGGGGAGCGGAGTCCACGGGGGGCATCAAGGCAGGGTCTATATTAGTTTTCTTGCTGAACATCATTATGAATACCATAGTTTTTGTATGAATAAACTCATAATCGATAAATAGTGTTTAATTAACTGTACATTTTCGAATAATTATTAAGCTGCTTGTTTTGTAGACCGAACACCTCGCCGTTCACGAATTTTTTCCAGAACAACGCTTGAATCTAAACTGGCAAGCGATCTGAATGCTCTTTTATCGAATTAATTTACCTAACTGCTATTTCATTATTTCAAGCTGATTAAATAGTTTGTGCAGAAGGCGTAAAACAAAAGCATTCAAAGGAAATTAGAGTAAAAAATTTCAGTAAGTGTATCAGTGATACGTCCGTTCACTGCTTGTGCTGGGAGTAAGAATGTGTGTCTCTATTGGGACACATTGACCCATCCGTTCACCGAGTGTACTCTGTACTGTTGACCCGGGAACATTTATTGGAAAAATGTTCCATCACATTGTCATTCTTGATATATTTTACGAATGCATCGCATGCAACAACAATATTTTTTCTCAGTGCCCTTGAGTTTACGCAGAAATAAAACTTGAGGAATTTTCAGCCCCCGATTATGGTACGGACGTCTTATCAGGCCTGGCGAGCTACTGCGTCATCCACATTTCATTCATGGTTCAACATTTTTTAAGTGCAACTTCAATAAAATTTAAGGGTTGAAAACAGAAAAAACTTCTTTCGTTGTTATTACTAACCACATAAGCTGAAGATAAGATTTTCTTTAGTTCAGATTACAGTTTGATTTTTCATATGCACGTTTAGGAGCTGATTTTATAACAGATTAGCAATTATTAACTATTGGCAAAATAACACGTTATTATTAGAATTAGAAATTGGATTTTGTATATGAAACCAGCGAAAAAGTATACACTACAGACGACCTACGGTCGTGCTGTAAGTGTAGTTGTACTATACTGTACAGTGTAGTTGCTGTAAACGAGGTCAACTTTGAATTGAACAATGAATGCTACACATCATCAAAACTGGATAGTTACCGATGTATAAGTAACAAGTTACGCTGCTGAATACTACATGTGTATTGTAGTTATAGGACATCATTGTTAGTAGGATAGTTCCTTCAAAAGTGAAGGTCATAGTGCCGGGACAATAATTTATTAGAGATAACACATTTCTGGAGATATGAAACTTGGCTCCTTTACCCTAACAGAATTTTTAGGAGTGCGCCACAGGCATTGGGGCCGCTATATAGGACTAGGGAGCACGTAAATAAGCTCCTCATGTCCGCTTCGGTACAAGGTTCAAAAGGCAGCCTCTGGGCAGCTTGCAAGCTCGGTATGACTCGGCACGGCCAACCCTTGCCATACTCTCAGGCGACTATGAAGTCGGAAAGGAGATTTTGACCAGAAACTCATTTTGATCGAGTGGCCAAGCACACCCAGAAGAACTTTGCGCCGAGTGTAGCGACTATTCGGCCGAAGCCTAAGCGGTCCCAGAATTTTGTTGGGGTAATCGAATCGTGCCATTCGTGCGAGGTTACTCGACAAGAAGCATATCATTTGTGATCTCAGGTTTTTTATATAATTGTATTTTTCTTCAACATTAACATTTAACAGGGCAGGGTGGCCCGGTGGTTACAGTTTAGAGTTCCTGGATTGTAGCAGAGAATCTAGCTATAGGATCACTGCTCTGCCAGTGATCGATCCCAGATTGCCTTCGATCCCAGCTACCTGCAACAGTTCTGGTCGGGTAGCCGGGCGGCTGCCCTATCGAAATTCGAAGACCTGTCAGCCGCTGGCACACGGACGCCCCAAGTTCTTATGGCCGGGTAAATTAGAAGCTCTATGTCCGCATTAGGTTCCGGTTGCCGTAGCGAAATAAGCGCCGAAATGGAATCTTGTGAAATTACTCGTCGAGCTTGGGGCGATC